GAAGCTTTTACAGAGTAGGGATTGTTCCATATCAGTTATATCTGCAACTGACTTGAAAAGTAAGGTTGCTACCAACTCTAAAAGAAGTTTTCAGGGTTTTTCCACGACTTTCAGATTATACTGATTTATTTATGTCAGCCTATTAAATTCTACAGCATGGACGGTCAAAGCGAGACTAGTACCAGCCAAGTCATGTGCACACCAGCAGACAATACAAAAAAGGGCAAAAGGGTCTCAGAAAATCAAACCCAAACAACATCAATCCAACCAAACCACAAAGACACATTACATCAGCCTTTCACCCTATGTCAGCTGGGATAGGCTCCAGCCTGAGCTAATGGATGGAACCAGGCTCTTCTTTAGTTAGAGTGGAATTTTTTCTCTCTCTTTGTGAGACCACATTTAGGATATAATCAAACATCTATTAGCAATATGACTTGTCAGATGCAAAATTAAGTGTTGTGTTGTATGCAAAATACAGAATAAGTGTGATGTATGACATTTGCACGACAATAAGATTAAATAGACATTATGTGAATCATTGCAATTAGATTTTAACCTATAATATAGGTCTCTTCTATAATATGAGCAGAATTTGTTCCCATTTTGTCATCGCTGAATATTTTGTTTGACAACATCAGAAGGAAATTTAATGTTGAGTTGGGCATAAATAGAGTCTAATCATAACAAAGATACTAGTACACATGTAAACACACACACATGAGTTCACACATCCTGTCAGATGGAAAATAAAAGGCTGCACTTAGTATATTAAAGTATATTTAAATAGAAAGTATAATCAGAACCAGGATACTAAGCACACTCACATCATTTCACACATTTGTGAACAACATGACTTTTCAGATGCAAAATTAAGTGTTGCGCTCTATTTAAAACAAATAATATGTGGGATGTATGACATTTGTATGACAATTAGAGATGATGTGAATCATTTCAATTACATTCTATGCTACAATATCAGGCTCTTCTTTAATAGGATTTTTTTTTTTACCATAGCTTTTTTTTTTTCTACCATATTTGTCACAGCTGAATGCTTTGTTACACCACAATTAAAAAGCAATTTAATGGCAAGTTTGACTTAAATACAGTATCTAATCATAACCAGGACAAAAGTGTGATGTATGGAATTTACATGGCAATTATTTTTGTTGGATTATTCAGATTATATTTTAGGCTACAATATAGGACTCTTTTTGACTATGAGCCATAGCTAATTACTTGCTAAATGATGAATCTGGGGAGCATAGAGAAATGTGCAGCAGGATTTGTGCTTATTTTCCCCCTCCTTTAAATACTAATTTGTCTACATTAGAACGCTCCAATATAGGACTCTTCTTTAACACAACCAGGACACTATTGCACACACAAACACACTTAAATGATGTCACGCATGCAGAAGCAATAAGATTCATCAACTACAAAAATAAATGTTGCACTCTATACAACACGCATGCACATGCGGGATGAGTGAAATTTGCATAACAATGACATTCGTCAGACACTATGTTGATCATTTGAGTTATATTCCAGGCTGCAATATAGGACTATTGTTCAGTATGACTAAAATTCTGATCCTATTTTGTCATGGCTGAACGCTTTGTTGGACCACAGTTGGAAACTCAATGTTGAGTTTGGTTTCAAATGAGAAATGTGCTACAGGATTTGGACTGATTTCTTGTTTGGAAATATTATTTTGTCTATACGATGTGAACAGGATAAACTTTTCACTGACATGATTTCACACATTTACAGTTGAAACCAGAAGTTTACATACACTGTATAAAAAGAAAAAAGACTCAATGTCTGCCATTAAATCAGACTAAACTTTTTCTGTTTCAGGTCAGTTGGGATTACTAAAATTATTTCTATTTGCTAAAGGCCAGAATAATGAGAGAGAGAATTTTCTACTACTTTGTTTAAAGTCAACTGGCAACCTGTCCAGGGTGTCCCCTGCCTTCGCCCTGAGTCAGCTGGGATAGGCTCCAGCCCCCCACGACCCTCGTGAGGATTAAGCGGTGTATAGATAATGGATGGATGGATGTTTAAAGTCAGAAGTTTACATACACTAAGATTACTATGCCTTTCAATTATTTGGGAAAGCTGAGATGATGATGTCATGGCTTTGGAACCTTTTAATAGGTTAATTGACAACATTTGAGTTAATTGGAGGCACACCTGTGGATGTATTTTAAGGCACACCTCAAACACATTGCTTCCTTTTATTACAACATGGGACAATCTCAAGAAAACAGCCAAGATATCAGGAAGAGAATTGTGGACCTCCACAAGTCTGGTTCATCCTTGGGTACTTTTTCCAGATGCCTGAAGGTTTCACATTCATCTGTTAAAACAATTATACACAAGTATGAACACAATGGGAATGTCCAGCCATCGTCCCAGTGATGAAGTGTTTTGTTGTGAAATGTACGTATCAACCCCAGAACAAAAGCAAAAGACCTTGTGAAGATGCTGCTGAAGCTGGTCAGAGAGTGTCATTATCCACAGTGAAACCAGTCCTGTACCGACATGGGCTGAAAGGCTACTCAGACAGGAAGAAGACATCACTCCAAAAGCATCATAAAAAAGCCACACAGTTTGCAAATGCACACAGGAACAAAGACCTTCATTTTTGGAGACATGTCCTGTGGTCTGATGAAACTAAAATTGAACTGTTTGGCCATAATGACCATCGTTACATTTGGAGTAAAAAGAGGGAAGCTTGCAAGCCTGAGAACACCATCCCAGCTGTGAAGTACAGGGGTCGCAGCATCATGTTGTGGGGTGTTTTGCTGCAGGAGGGACTGGTGCACTTCACAAAATAGATGGCATCATGAGGAAAGAAAATGATATTGAAATATTTAAGCAACATCTCAAGACATCAGCCAGGAAGTTACAGCCTGGGCGTAAATGGGTCTTCAAATAGACAATGACCCTAAACATCCCGCCGAATTAGCTACAAAGTGGTTTCAGGACAACAAAGTCCATGTTGTTGTTGGAGTGCCCATCACAAAGCCCTGATCTCAATCCTGTAGAAAATTTGTGGGCAGAGCTAAAAAGGCATGTGGAGCAAGACAGTCAACAAACTTGACTCAGTTACACCAGTGATGTCAGGAGGAATGGGCCAGACACCATGTGTATCATTTAAATTATGCTTTAGGCTAAAAAAATGAATATTTTTTTTTTAGTGTGTGCAGGATTTTTTCTTTCCTATCCTGTCATAGCTAAATGCTTTCAATCAGAAATGTAAACGTAATGTTGAGTTTGGGCTAAACAGAGCGTGATCATAACCAGGATGCTAGTGCACACATGACCACATTCACATGGTTTCACACATCTAGAAGCAATATCACCTGTCAGATGGAAAATGAAATGTACTTACACAAAACACATACATGTGTATGTTGTGAATGTATTACATTTGCATGACAATTTGGCTCATTTTAATGATATTTCAGGCTACAATAGAGGACTCTTTTTCAATCTGAACATTTTGTCTGAGCTGATTATTTTGTTGGACCACAAGAAATTAAATGGGCTAAATAGAGAAAAATGCTTTGGGATTTGGGTGGACTTCCTGTTTTAAACAAGTATTTTGTCAACATTGGAAGAACAGGGTAGCACCCTAAATCTAATCATGTGCAGGATACTAGTGATTTTACACACCTATAAGGAATATGAAGTGAAAAATGGACAATTAAATGTTGGACTTGATACAAAACACAGAATAAGTGAGATGTAAGAAATGTGCAGGACAATCAGATAAGTTAGACACCATGTGGACCATTGAAATAAGAATTTAGGCTACAAAATGCCATCAATATCACTTTCCATCCATTATCTATACACCGCTTAATCCTCACTAGGGTCGCGGGGGGGCTGGAGTCTATCCCAGCCGACCTAGGGCGAAGGCAGGGGACACCCTGGACAGGTCGCCAGTCCACCAATATCACTTTGCACTACTTATTTATATTTCTGAAAATATCTATATTTAAATTGTAATATTTCTGTACATATCACTGTGATTTGTATACAAGTAGAGAAGTCATGTGCAATTTCTTCATACGTTGTATAATGACAATAAAATGGATTCTGACTCAGACAAAATATGACTGTTCTTTAGTGTTTGCAGGATGTTTTCTTTCCTATCTTGTCATAGCTAAGTGATTTCAATCAGAAATGTAAATGTACGTTTGGGCTGAATAGAGTCTGATCATAACCAGGATCCTAGTGCACACTTAGAATGATTTCACACATCTATAAGCGAGATCACCTGTCAGGTGGAAAATTGCTTGTACTTCTACAAAACACATACATTTAAATTCAATTTCAGGCTACAATAGAAGACTTGTTTTCGATCTGAACATTTTGTCTGACTGCTTTGTTAGACTGCAAGAAATTAAATGGGCTAAATAGAGAAATATGCTTTGGGATTTGGGTGGATTTCCTGTTTTAAACAAGTATTTTGTCAACATTTGAAGAGCAGGGGAGCTCCCTAAATCTAATCATGTGCAGGATACTAGTGATTTTACACACCTCTGAGCAATATGACTTGGGAAGTGGAAAATTAAATGTTGGACTTGATACAAAACACAGAACAAGTGAGATGTAAGAAATGTGCAGGACAATTAGATAGGTTAGACACCATGTGGACCATTGAAATAAGACTTTAGGCTACAAAATGCCACCAATATGACGTTGCACTGCTTATTTATATTTCTGAAAATAATAATACTAATAATAAATGATATTTCAGGTTGCAACAGACAAGTCGTTTTCAATCTGAACATTTTGTCTTATTACTTTGTTAGACCTAAAGAAACTCACTGGGCTAATAAACAGAGAAACATGCTTCATGGATCTGGGCGGATTTCTCGACTATTTTGTCCACATGACAGAGTGTGTGTGGTAGTTGTGTAGCCGATGCTGGCCAGCTACACACCAGTGCAGGAGCTCAGTGTGTGACTGTGTGTACACCTGCATGGACCTCCTCCTGAGCTCAACCTCTCCAAGTATTTTCGCTCGAAACTGGGAAAGTCGCCCAGTCCTCCTCGCCTGCAGCCTGAGCTCCACCTGGGACGGCAGGCTGCGATAAGTCGGCTCTGCGGTAGAAATGATCCGGGGCGAAGAAGGAGTCCTCGGCGGGCTGGACCACACTTTGGGCTCTTTTCGATCCTTCACGGCTGTGTCTTTGTTTTAGCTAGCGACGCGTTAGCCGCTTCCGGAAAAAGAAAAAAAACAAAACAAAAAAAACAACAACCTTCGCACAGGTAAGACGAGTTTCGGTGAGCAAATTCCTGCTAACTAACGTGACTGTGAGCTGTGGGGGGACTTTCACGGAGGGGAGGAGACAGACCCTCCGTTAACGGGGGATATGTGGTCGTTTATAGGGCAGGTATTCACCGGCGGACCGAAAAGTAGAGTTTGTGCGCGAGCTCAAGGTGTGTAGCCATTAGCGCGGCGCGAGCAGGTTAGCTGAAGGTGAAGACATGTCGTCCTGCTCTCACTTTACCTGCCCGCTTAGAAACGCTCATACCTGGCCACCTGTACTTTTATGGCCTCCTCTGTCAGCTGGATGTGTCACAGCGGTGAAGTGATGAGGACCACACCAGCAGACGTGGCTTGTCACCGGGGGGACAGTGAGTTATTTATGGTGACAGCGACACACATCCAGGCTGGGAACTGACGGCGGATGCCCTCGTTGCTGGCGATGAGTGGCTTTTTCATTCCAAACACATCAGCTTTAGTGGAGAAAAACATAATTAACAGCGCTTTGATAAACACTAGTAATGAGATATGATATGTCTGGTGGCAGCAGCACATGTAGCAGAGTCAGAGGAGGTGCGGAGTCACGTGGTGTCTTCACTGGAAGCTGCCTGCTAGTCTGGGAAATGCATTGCTGTACAATTTTACATGTATTGGCAGATATGTCAGTATTTAAAGTTTTTACTCTATAAAAGTTTGCATGTGCTAGAATATGCAATTTCGAGTAACGCTTCACACTTTTTGGTTAGTTTTGAGTCCACTTCGACTCTATAATTCAACTCTGATTACATGCCAAAGAGGACATATTGTGCTTTGTACTGCTAGCAGTCTGTAAATATGTACAGTTAATATAAAATCTGAGACATGACAACACTAGTCCTGTCACAGATATGTCGGTATTAGCACACATAATGTCCTTGTATACAGACACCGACAAGGAAAGTGTGACATTTTTTTAAAGTAAAAAGTGCCATCAAATGTCGATATTGTAAAGTCAAAATAAGGCAAACCCGAAAGACAAAATTTACATAAAAAAGCAGCGTAATAATAATTATTACAATAATAACTGTAACATTTCCCTTCATGTGCTGTTAAATTGGACAGTGAAGCATTCTGCTGGCTACAGAATGGCTTTAGACTAAAAAACTAGAAATTAGCACAGGTATCCTTTCCTCCAGTGAACCAATATGAAAGAATAATGCAGAAGAAATGCTTGAAATACTGTCATAGGTTTGTCCAGAAGTGTGGCTTCTGAATCCATTCTTTAAAATACTCCTAGCATATCAAGTACATATCAAGTGATGTCTTTACAGTATGGTGCTAAGTCATTTAATGTGTATTTAATGTCCATTTATATGAGGAGTATCGGCAGATATATCAGTAATTTTCATGAAGATTTTGCGTACCAATAATATAATCCAAATACTTGCATTTTACTGGAACGGATGTATTCAAAGCAGTACTATGGAGGATTTGAGTGCTTATCCGCCCATCAGAAATACTAAATTTTAGTGGGATTTTGTGCAACATTGCAGTTTCCTCAGAGAAAATTCTTTAAAAAGGCTGCGTCTGTACTTTAGGACCTTTCTGTGAATTAAGTTCACCTATTTCAGTCAAATGCAGGTGCATTTATTTGTTGCAAGTAGTCCTGTTGCAATAAACAACAATATATATTTGATTAATCAATTAGTTGTTTGTTATGATAATAATAGTCAGTTAATCGGTTTAAATTAATTTTTCCAGAAAATGTAGCTATTTTCAGGTTTTATTCTCTCCTCTGTAGGTAAACTGGATTTCTTTAGTTTGTGGATAAAGCAAGACTTTTGTCATCTTTGACTTGAGTAAGCACAGAATGACATTTATTTATTTATTTTTAATTTTCTGACATTTTACAGACCAAGCAATTAATCAAGAAAACAATTGACAAATCAATCAACTATTAAATAATCATTATTTGCAGCCCTAGTTGTAAGTATCCACAAAACAGTACAGGAGCGTTTAGAGTTGAATTGTTCAAGACTGCAAATGTGAACAAAGTAAAGGTCAGCAAATAAGTTTGGTTTGGAAATTCCACATCAGTGATCTGTATCTTTTCCCAAGTAAAGCCAGTCATCAGCAGACTGATGCCATGCATGTAATTTCTACAGGACGGGTTTGTCTTTTGGGATCCCAATTCTCACCTGCCCTTTATGCTAATAACAATGGTGACAACTTAAGTTAAAGCCAAGGGTGGTGTTTGTTTGGTACGTGCAGGCTGGCTGCTGTACAGGTGGAGCCTCACGTGCTCTGTGAATATAAGCTTAACCTCCAGATATGATTTGTGTGCAAGGCAGTGGCACCACATGTGAGTCTTGGAAGCAGGTTCGGTTGTATGAATGTATGAACTATGGAGAAGCTGGAGTGGAAAACTGTGGAATGATGGACTGGAACGATGACTTTAACGTCCCCCAGATGGTAGTTGAAGTTGATTTTTTTTTGTCCTGTATATAAAAGTGCAATGCAAATATTGGTCATTGTTGCAAGAGACTTTGCATGTTGTTGCGATAGCACTTATGTAATATTCAGGCTGTTCTCAAAATAGATGCCATTTCATTTTATTATGGGGGAAAGAATGAATACCATTAACAAACAGCTGGAGACACTCAATCAAACTGCTTCTTACCACAAAGAATAGATTTTTTATTACACATGCAAGCAGGAGAGGCAAAATTTCATCAGCAGCCCACTGTGTCTTTCATAGATGCAAGTTACAAGTATGCTTTTGTACACTTCCACAAGTAACACACACCCAAGTCATAATAATTTGTCAAACTTTAGCTGTGCACAGTAAGACATTGCTGCTCTACATCTCCTCAGTTTCCCAGGGTGCAGCCTTGGCTTATCTAAGGTTACCTTGAGCACAGGAACAATCCATTCTCTGTACTGAGGCAACACAAGGCGGACAGTATCTTTATGCATAGACTACTAGTTTCAGTGCATTTTCAAGCTTTAAGCAAGGACACGTTTTAATCTCATGCACATGTTAAAGCTTTACACTTGAGTTCCTCAGACATTGATGATTAAGAGTTATTCACCTCTGGGTAGTGATTTTGCAATTTTTCCTCTTCATGTGCAGTTCTGCTTACGTGTTATTTCTATTAGTAATACCAGACATTGGTTAAGATAGAAGTAGACATTACACACCTCCTGTCTCATGGACGGGACAAATTATTATCTAACACGACCTCACCTGTGCACAGCGAGGGTGTGGCAGAACATGTGACTCATTTGTATCCACTATCAAAGCAGGTGATTTGGCCCTGCTTTGAAAAAAAAACTCCACCTTGGGTAATCCCATGGGAGACCGGAGGACACTGTCGGGCCACAGAGGTTTCCCTGGAGAGCTTACACCATCACATGATTATAAGGCATTTGATATGGATAAGGCGTTTCCCTTTTTCCGTCTGTTTGTATTGAGCTGTGTATGCATTGGTTGGCTCTAAACCTGTAAACCATATTTTACCACCTCTACTGCAAAAAAAAAAAGTTATTACTGTGATCATTTTCTTTAAGACGTTTCTTTAAGTTTGCTTTTCCTAACAACATTATATCGCTAGTGTAAGATTAGAATAAAGCTTTGTTTTGTGATTTAGGTTAAAAATTTCTCAAATACACTTTTCCTTATTGTTTTTTAAAAAATATTTCTTATTTAACAATTTAGTCAGAATCATAGGCTGCTTGCTGCTACATTTTCACTTATATTACAAAAACATTTGAGGAAAGAAAAAGGCATTGCAGCTGCTGAATCTGTCCTCATTTCACATCAGCAACGGGTAGTTAAAAAGTTTTTCCAGAGTTCTGGAGTCGAGTGGTGACTGGATGCCCCTGATTTACATAAAGTAGCCTTGACCTCAACTTCATGCAAATGAGAAGTTGGTAACGAGGTGCCCTGTCTTTCAAACGCTACTAGAATGCACTTTTTGGCTGCTTACACCAATGATGAATGGGAAATATAGAAATGATGGATTCTGTGGGCGTATACTATAAGTCACAGGTTATTAAAGTCTGAGGTGACGCCTTGAGAAACAAAGTGAAACACAGTGAATGGTTTGGAAATGTTGATCACTGATAGCTATTTGATCTGATGGCTTCAAAGCCAGCCACCTTCAGAAACACAATAAATGTCTGCCATGATGCTCTGTGTGACCTGTTCATGCATGTAAGTATATCACAAATCAAATAATACACCTTAGATATATAGTAATAAGGAAAGAATTTGGTAGGAGTGAACCTGCGAATGTACTCTTGATAAGAGAACCTTTGCAGTCAGGCACCATAGTGTATTTGAAAGTGTGCTGTGTTGTTTCTCTCTTATTTCACATTCTTGCACCAGGTCATGTGGTTCCAATATAAATGGAGCATAGCCTGGTTTCTACTGTGCTTCTCCGTCTGTGCTACAGGATCCGTGACCCCTATCCATTACAGGAAAACGTATCGGCTGTACAAAGTAAAAACAAAGGAAGAGAGAAGGCCTGGGTGCATGCATGTGTGCACACATATTTGTAACCAGGCTTTTGTGTTTGCAATCAGTCATTCAGCTTGTGAGAGTACTTTACCTGTGGTAGTGCAACATCAGCAGTCTGAGCCCCCAACCCCCAAACACACACACACACACACACACACACACACACACACACAAAACACACACATACATTCACTGGCACTGATGACAGAGGCAGAAGGAACATTTTTCCTTTCCTCTCACACTGCCTAGTTATACCAATTCCCCTCTGCATTCCTCACACCGGTGCAGTCGAAGCTCATACACATCCACACTGATGCACACAAAATATGTGCACACACACGTACGCGGACACACAGGCATTATTCTGACGGTCTGCTGCTGGGGAGGCAGAGCTCTGGTTTCATTCAGGCTTCAGGCAACCGCTAGAGTCTTGTGTTTGCGTGCAATGGCTACTGGGCGCTTGACAACAAAGATATCATCTTGGGTGAGTCGTTTCAATAACACTGAAGATAAAGCAGTCTTTTTGTGCCTGGGATCTGGACAGGAGTCACAAAAACAAAGATGCTAAAGGTAGTGACTTCACTGTGGTAGCTTATTTGATCTTTTTCATATGAGGCCATGTGCAAGAGAGAGAGCCTTGATGTAGTTGGGACAAAGTCATGTATCTTAAGGTGGTGTTTTGTGCGTTCCTTAGTTCCTGAGACAACACAAAGGTTTCTAAAATTCCTGCTCTGCATCTCCATGACCCTTCTCAGTCCTGAATATGAATAGCACTTGATAAATGTTCACTGTTTACATTACTTCTCACTTAAAATTTGCAGTTGAAAGTCCACTAGTCCTACTTCAGTCCCCATACGTAACATTGTAGTGTATGAAATTTATCTTACAAGGCAGATTTATTACTTTAATTGGTAAATTTGTTCATATAGGAGACGTCCAACAGTCTTTCCAAAGAATGCGTTCCCAATCAGTGCTTTCCTTATGAGGAGGAATTAAAAAGAGATTAGGAGCTGCACAAAGGGATGGAGACCACTGCCGATTGGGTGCAAGGGGTCATTAGTGAAGGGGATTGCATTTCTGCCCCGTTCATTCAGAATTCTTACTCTCGCGTTGTGCCATGCCTTTGTTCCTTCCCATTAGTGGCGCTTTGACTTTAGTCCGTTTTCCTTCTGCCTCATTTCACAGAGTTTAGCGCTTTCAGCGAGAAGCACGGTGACTTTTAGCTGAGATGAGAATTCCTTTCGTCCCTCAGGAAACTTGCTGGGAGGAAGCAGCTGTAGCTTGTTGCCATATTGCTGCTGCTTTGTGGATTTGTCATTTCCTGTGTAGCTGGCCAGTACGAGGAGGAATAGTCCAACTTTTAACTGTGTTTCTCTCTCTACAGAAAATCAAGATGAAGACACGGAGATAACATTGTTGACTCTGGATTGTTGTTTCTTCGTTTGAGTGGATTCAGCTTCGGACATGCACACATAGACTTGTGAAATATCTCTGATAGGTTGTGAGGAGATAAGAGAACGCCAGTCTTTATAAGACACAGGAGCTTGGACTGAGCTTCCTCAGATAATGGCTACAACAGAAACCAAGGTTGCCGGCAGCGGCAGCACTGCTGGTCTGTCGTGGGCACGTGTCTGTAAAGAGTGTGGCCAGCAGCACGACGGCCTGGACAGCCACCTGTACGAGTACCAGGATGAGGTGGATGATGAACTGGTTTGCCACATTTGTCTGCAGCCCCTGCTCAGACCTATGGATACACCATGTGGCCACACTTATTGTTTTCACTGTCTGAGCAACTTCTTGAAGGAGCAGGACTTCTGCCCTGTGGACCGCCAGCGGCTGCAGCTCCATCAATGCCGTCCCTCCAGCCTGCTGGTCAGGAACCTGCTGGACAAGCTGACTGTCATGTGTCCCCACAATGCAGAGTGCCAGCAGCAGATGCAGCGCTGTGAACTGCAGCCTCATCTGCATAACAGGTAAGACTTTGGGTGGAATGCTGAGAGTGGATGACAGCGATTTCAGTGGATATTGTTCTTTATTCACCTCATTATTTTCCGCGTGTTATTTTAGTTGGGATTGCACAAACATCTTTTCCTTGTAGACACCCCCAAGTATTTAATGAAAAAGCCATACTATGGAAAACAATCATGCACAATATGTTCACCAACTTTTTTAACCTTCAGTCACCTCTGGTAGTAAATCAGCAGAGGTAACTGAAATCCCACTCACCGGTCATGCAGTCATCAATGGAATAGTTTTAGGAAACAATTACTTGCAATACCTTTCAATATGACGTTAAGCTAGTGTCCAGTTAGCTTCGTTAGCATAAAGACTTGAAGAATAGGGAAACCGTTAGGGCCAAATCATGCTTTCTGCCAAACTTCCAGACTAGGTCTGAGTCCGCCTGTGTGGATGTTCATGTTGCAACTCATACTAAACACATAAAAACACACAGGGCAGTTTTAAAATTCTCTAGAAATCCAATGCTGTGCCCACCTGCAGTGCTCAAGACACTGAATGGACAAAGTGCAGGATTTCTGGACAATTTAGAAATTCCCACTGTGTTTGGGCTCCTTTGATGGAAAGCATGTACAAATAAACTCCTCCAAAATGCAGTGACTACTTTAATTACAACTCTTTTAATGATGAACTTTAAAAGTGTACAGTTCTCTACACAAGCATGGCATTTGTTTTTAGCACCATATATTTTCCTTGCACATGCATAGTCGTTGCTCTTGCAGTCAGCACAGTCAGAAATGTAGGGCACCCACATACCCTCGCAGATTTGGATGAAAGAAAAAAATTGATGCACCTATAAGGTCACGGATGCAGAGAGCATGAATTAAACTTTAGCTTGCCTTTGTACCATAATCCACGTACTAGCAATGCTAAAGCTCACCATTGAATATGTTGTCTTGTTTGTTTTTTCTTTGCAGAAATACAAATGACAAATTACAGTATTGTGGGAGCAGATTAAATAGTAATTTACTGGATTCTTCTGTCTCAGAAATGCTGTAATAAAATGGATCCACGAAGAACAGCTGTCTTTATTTTCTCCTGTGATTGTAATAGGATTTAAAGTTTGTAGACTCATATTTATACATTGCAGTCACTCCCACTGGAGAGCAATCATAGGATAGTTTCATAGCAAGCAATAACAAGAAACTGTAGAGCAAATACACCATTTCCTTTATAGCTGTCATCACTGTGAACGTTGCACTTAGTCGTTGTTGCACTTCATCTTGAATGAGATATAATATGCTGATGACCTACTGATGTGCTGAAAGGCAGATTTTCTTTTTAATCTCTGGAAATCTAGCTATTTCCATTTTTCAGTCTATGTGCTAAGCTAACTGACTGCTTCTGTATTTCTCAAAAATATCAACACTTGAAAGTAGACAAGATGTAAAGTTTCAGTCAGGACAAAAGAATTCTAACTACATTGCTGCAAAACAGCGATCACCAAATTGTTTCCCTTCTTCGTGTCCCCTGAAGGAATGTGCTTCAGCTCTTTGAAGCTGTACCGTTTACTAGTGGTGACACAGTTCCTCTGCGAACACACGGACTTGTAATTATTGAGTTCAAGACGAGGCGCAGGTCAGTCGTCTTGTTTTTCGCATGGCCAGTGTGGTGCTTACCGTCCTGGTGGCCAGCCATGACGCAGTCCGCTGTGGGAGGCGGATTGTCCTGCTGCAGCCTCTCTGTGCAAACAATGAGGAGGCAAAGTTCAGGCATGAGGGACGAGCAGCAGTCCCAGCACTCTGACTGACTTAATCAGACTCAAACTGTCTCACCAGACACCCTGCAATGCAGTGAAATTGTTCACTCATCTGCATAGTGCTTCTTTTCCCTTCCCTTTGCCTCCTCAAAACATATTTACCATTTAATTTTGTTCTCTCAGTTTGTGTATTCATTCATAAAACTCCTAGTAACATGGAACATTTAAGAACATGAACTGACTTTTGCATCCTTTTGACGAATATAATGACTGGTCAATTACTGCTCCTTATCTCTTCCGCCTTGTTCCTGTCTCTCCTTAGATGTCCTGTTTTTAGAAGACTCAGAGAGGAGGCAGAGAAGAGGAAGAGGCCCTCATGGAATGAATTAAAGGGACGTAAGGGTGATGGGGAGACGTCTGGAGATGCTAAACATTCAGCAACACAGTCTCGAAATCACAGCCGGGATCAGCCTGAGCCTGGTCTTATTAATCCTGCCTACGAGGAAAGTGAAGACGGTATGGAGTCATTTTATCATCATAACAGCCTCTATCAACAGCTACCCAGTCCCACTAGTTTGTTTTCTACACATGATGCTTAAAATCACCCGTTCTTAGGAAGTGTTTACCAGAAAGAGGTTCATGTGGGGCATCGACAATGAATAATGTTTAAATAGAGACTTCTAGGCTCAGTGGAAACAGTTTACTTGCTGGAGTGACTGTCAAGACACACACAGGAGTTGCTGTTTTTAGCCTCAAGGGTTTGATTCCGTCTGTCGCAGGTGAATCATCAGCCTAGCCGTAAGAACATGTACCAGCTCACAGATGTTTTAACCAGACAGTCTTATCATGGGAAAAACCCTCAAAGCCACTTGCAAGCCAGTACCATAGAGCAAAGTCCGCTAAAGCATGGTTGCCAGGCAACTGGTAATCAGTGTCCACAGAGGAGTTTGTATTCTTGTCATTATAATCTTTATGTTGAACAAATTGTCGCTGAATGCTCTTGAGCCTGCAAAGAAAAGAATCACAGATGTCGTTAAATTTACAGTGAAGCTAAATAGTTAAATAATTGTTTCAGTGTAAATATGTCAGCGTATTGACTCATCCAGGTTGCACCATCTCTGCTGTCGGATGAATTCATGCCTTTGTAACGCTCGTGGGGCTAAATAGATCAATAGGGCTGCTGAGGAGATAGCTGTAGCATGTAAATACTTGTACGCTCTGTGTGCACGCACAGACCAGTTCCAAGGTTGAGATACTCTGTGTGCAGTTTGTGGGAACTTGTACCGTCTTACTGTGACGATTATGAGCTGAGGTCCACTCTGCTTTATGCCGTGTCCCATTTGCATTAGACTTCACTGTGTGCTCAAAAAATCATCTAAAGCTCCTCTGTGAGTTACTGGTTAAAGCGGCAGTTTGATTTTAAGCATGTCTCTGCAGGTAAAGACATACTTTCAACATTTTAGTGATTTTTTGTTGGCATATAGATAAGAAGATCATATCTTACTCTCTGCATTTCGTGAAGAGGATTGTTCCAAGATATGCTCAGCTTCGTTTAACTTCAAAACAAACAGCAGAACAGAAAAAAATCCCAAACTTTCTATGAGGTTTGCAGTATACATCTCTTAAAGGTAAAGCAGTATTTCTGTAACACTGTTAAAAAGATTCCATAAATCCTAGATAACTGATGGGTCAGACTTTATATTTCTGGCTATCTTTGTAATGCTTTAAGTAACGTTCATGTAGCATCACTCCCGAGAGACCAGATGAGGAAAGAACATCTCAAAAACTGTAAACAGCCGACCATGGACATTTACAAATGACAGTTTGGATAATAATTTCACTGCATGCCTCTAAGCAGTTTCTAGAGCTTGTCTATTCATTAATCTGTACACTAAGCAGGGTTTTAAAACTGTGTTCTATTTACAAAAATGTCTAATATTTCATACATCTGCCCCTGTCCCTCATCTACTCTCCTCGTGGTGGATCACTCTTAATAACCCCACCTCCTTGTACATTTTTATCAGTGCCTGTGTCATTTTTCATGTACTTTTTGATCCCTGACAACTTTGTATTTCACTAAACTGAGAAAATGACAAGTGAAATTTAAAGCTGAGTTGACATGCAGGTGAGGTAAGAATAGTTTACAACATGCTAAACAAAGATAGACAAGAAAGTATAATTATTAGAATTCAATCTGAACTCCAGACAGCTAAAAATGCATGTTATCTGTTTATGTGTTTCCAGAATTCACCTTATCAGCTAAAAGAGTAAAATTTTCAAACTGCTGTTTAAAATGAAAACCAGAATTATCCTTTAAGTAACTATATTTGGCTCGCAAATAGTATTTAAAACTTTATTATCATATACGTTTATCATTGATCTTACAAGCTACAGCTCCGCCAAAGAGAGTGGAAGACTGGGAGTTTTTGCTTCATAAACAGGAAGGGACAGCCTTGTTTATTCTGCTTGGTTGTCTGTTTCTCCTTCCTCCAGACAACACCCCCCTGCGGTCCAGTCTGGTGGCCGAGGCCAATGTGGTGGAGCTGTTCAGAGAGGAACCGGAGGAGGAGCTGGGCCTTCGCATCGTGGGGGGGAAAGACACACCGCTGGGAAACATAGTCATCCAGGAGATTGTCCGGGACTCGCTAGCTGCTCGTGATGGCAGACTGGCCCCAGGGGACCATATTTTAGAGGTGAGAGAGACTAAATGAGGAGAGAGCTGTAATTACGTCACCCATAATGTTAAGTTATTCTTCTGTTCTTCAGCATGCAGGCTCAAAAATACTCTGGTGGCATCGCGTGACACGGTTCAGCTCAAAATATCTTTGCACAAACACCTTGTGGTTGTATTCTCTCAGTACTGCAAACACAACGCTTTTCAGCAGGGAATGGGAAAGTAGATATTCAGGATAAACAAGTTTTAGCTCCATGGTAACAAGGCGTGGCTAATGTGACTGGGCACAAGTGCGTCAAGTGAGTGTAAACAGCTTTACCTGGTTGTTGTCACTGATGGACGCCTTTCGCTTTGAGAGCATCGGTGTTCAAGCATGAAGCAACCGCTAATATTGAGTCAGTTCTTTTCTGTTCTGTAGATCATTATCAGAGTTATTATGAAACAGTGTGGTTAGTTTAATAGGCGCAATAATCTTATTATTTCCGATATCATTATCAAAATATTAGATCAAAACCTATGTAAATTATATGTATTTATGAACTAATTTTGATTTATTGTTTTATTTGCATCAACAGTTTGGTTTCCACAGAACAGAATGGAACTACAGATTATGACTAACAGGAGATTTTAATAAGTAGTTATCCTCACTATACCTGCAATGTCCTCCTTCTTGTGTTTCTGCCCTGCGGTTGTCCTGCTATGTGGGACTGCTGTAAACTGAGCTGACCGACTATTTCAGCCTCAGTGTGTCCTCTGAATTACAGCTTTTCCTCTAAAGCCAACCAATCCCAAACCTGGAAATGAAAACAAAAACTTGCCAACCAGCAGCCCATTTTCAGGATGTGAAACAATAGCTGCAGGAGGCTTTTTTTTGTTTGGTGGAAAGTTTAAGGATGTAAAGAGATATGGTGACCATGAGTGGAGGTTACATCACTTGGATCTTGAAATTCAATCTTCAGAAGAGGCAAGCTGATAATAAATTTGTAACTGATATTTGTCATGATCATTTTAACTCAGGAAGAGGTTGAAGGAAGTGAGATATAATGTTAAAGTCAGATATCAGAAATTGAATCGACTTTTTTGTCTTAACATCAAGTTATACTTCCACCGCTGTTAGCAAAATTACCTTGCAGGAAAGGTTAAATTATTTGATCTCACTCTTCTCTGAAACAATAAAAAAGGTAATTTTCCATAGAAGCAGTAGACACACACGTACAGCATGTAATGCAGTGTGTGTGTGTGTGTGTGTGTGTGTGTTTGTGTGTGTTCAGCTGCTTCATCACTCACTGTGTTGCTTCTTCTCTCTCTGGTGTCGTGTTTCCAGGTGAATGACGTCAGTTTGGCTTCAGTTCCTCACGCCAGGGCCATCGCGGTGCTGCGGCAGCCTTCCCTCCTCAGGCTCACTGTTATGCAGGAGAAAGGTTTCAAATTAAGGGATCAACGGTCCGATCATCACCTGTCAACTCCCGCCACTTCCACTGCCTCCCAGCCCTCTCACAGTCCCCACGGCAATGCTACCTCCAATCACAACCCCGGTACGGTCCTGCAGGTGACGCTAATGAAGAGTCAGCGCACAGAGCCGCTTGGCATCAAACTCATCCGCAAGTCTGATGAGAGTGGGGTTTTCATCCTGGACCTGCTGTCCGGTGGTTTGGCAGCCAAGGACGGAAAACTGAGGAACAACGACAAAGTGTTGGCCATCAATGGACACGACCTGAGGCACGGGACACCTGAGAGCGCCGCTCAGATCATACAGGTATAAACCCGCAAAGATATGGTTATGTTAACTCTAGTACATTAACTGCATATTACAGACACTGAACATTAACACTGACCGTTTTTTAAAACCATTTTAAAGGCTTAAAGATTGATTTTATTATCTCCAGGCCGCTTTGGGTGAGCAGTGGCTAGTTTAAACTCATCTCTATTGATGTTTTTATAGAATTACAGACATTCTAGATTTTGGAAATGGTTGCCAAAAAACATCACACTAATGAACTACAAGGGCACTCAGAGAGCTTATCCTGCCAAAGCCAATGCCCTTTTTGGCTTTTTTTTATTATTGTTTAGAAAGGAATCAAAATCTGTGCCAAAATTTATAGTTGCTACTTTGGCTGTGCTCCAATTCTCCAATAAGTTTCATACGATTCAGCCTGGTAGTTTGTGTGTAATCCTGCAGACAGACAGAGACATAAACAGACAAACAGCAATGAAATCATGTCTCCACTTGGAGGTATGTTTTTCAAGAAACCAAAGAAGAAAATAAACTATATGCAAGCACGGACTTTGTTTAAAGGATAGTGTGAATTATCTTGTTAAATCGTAAAAAGGCGGCTGTTCAACAGTCAGTTATTAGTTTCCCACCATCACAATAGATTCAAGTACTTAAATGCAGCTTCAAGGCTGCTTTCAATGTCATTCATGCGCTTTGCAATGATGTAACACTAAACAAACAACAACAAATACTACAGTGTTCATTATATGACATGTTAATAGCAGCAAACATGGAGTCGAGTCTTTTGACTATTTTTCAGAGTGCTGCACAATAGAAAAGGCCTTGGCCTCAATACAAATTTAACTCTCAAGAGCACAAATCTATCCAACAAATTTAATGGCAGTCTGCCATTGACAAAATGCGTTTTATGAGATCTTATGACCTGCTGGTGACAGTAAAGTGAAAGAAAAACATCCTCTGGGGACCATGAGCATCCACACAGAAGGTCACAGCTTTCTGAATAGTTGCTTCCAGAAATCTTGTTAAATGAAAAGTGATAGATGGGACAACGTTACCAAAAGCCTAACTGCAAGTAAGGTACATACAACATGAAGTTGTCTTAAGTGTGATAAATATGACAGATTAAATATCTTTAGAAAACTTTAAGCTTGCAAGTCAGTTAGCATGGTAAAATGTCTATGAATCCAACGTTCAACCTACCAACTCAGTTTTGTTGTGAAAGTGTTTGACAGTAACAAAAATGAGTGTTATTGTTTGCATGAAACTACCAAAAAAAACACCAAAACTTCAGTCATAGATCTTGTATGTATTTGCTTCTCATTTCTGTGTATTTAGGGCAGTGAGGTGCGTGTGAACTTTGTGGTGATGAGACCTGCAGAGGCTCAGGAGGAAGGTGGAAGCAGCAGAGAGGGACAACACAGCAGAGCAGCCAGGAGGGCGCCAGAGCCGCAGTACTTCAGGCGCCGGTCCACCTACATGAAGGTAACATGGAACATTTCCTCACAAGCCAATGTTCAAAATCAAACCACGGAATATTGCTCCTGGCCTCTTGTTTTTAATGATACATCTTATATCTGCTTTTTTTGGGGCCTTTCCAACTGTGCGCTGCTGGAATTCTAACTTCCTTTTACACCACTAACCACAAAGTCGGTGGCAGTATCAAATCTTACTTGTTCCTGTTTACACAGTGTAAATGTGATACTCGCTCCTGTGTCGCTCACACTCTGCTGTACCATACACTGTCAGTAGGAAGAACAGCAACCCCCCCACTTGGGGGTGAGAGATTTGAGAGCAGACACCTGCATTGGTGAGATGAAAGCCCTTCTCTGGGGCCTCCCTCTGTCCTGATCAAAAGGCCCGGGGTGCTGCTCGCTCTGCCGCTACGGGGCCACTGTCTTGTTGTTTTTTGGTTGTTTCTTTGGGAGGCAGAGGATCAAAGCTGGTAACAGTTAGCTTTCGCCTGCAGAGTCGAGCCTTTTCGTCTTGCTGGGGGGGATGGGTTCCCTGCTGTGGGGAGGAAGAACCCCAACCTCCCCCGAGCTTCCCTTCTGATGGTTTACAGACTCCATAGAGCAACAAGGAGGCCGGTTGAAGTTGTCATTTTCCACACATCTTTTACATTACGAGAGCTTTGTGTTGATCCTCACACGTTCCCTCTACTCTTACCTCTCAGCTCCATCTCAAATGTTTCACATTTGTTTCTACAAGTGGTTTTCTGAAAGGAATCAATTAAGTCCAAGGATCCTGGTGAGGCTAAGATTAATTGGCAGCACAGACTTGATGCATTTTATGGCAAACGAAATAAGACAAACCATAAATCTTGTGGAGAATCTGTGGAACAGCATCCTGAATGATGCCAGCATAATGTTAAAAACTGTGTTGTTACAACATGTTTGTGATGACTTCGTATTAATATGTCTAATTTTTTGTGCAGGATCCTCCAGGTGGGTTTTCCAGTCAGGAGAAGACTGTGAGTCTGAAGAAGGAGCCTCGGCTTTCGCTTGGCATCACCATTGCAGGAGGGAGGGATTGTCGCAGTCGCCTGCCCGTGTACATCACGAGTGTGCAGCCCGTTGGCTGTCTGCACCGAGATGGTACCATCAAAAGAGGTACAGAGCATCTAATGATCTGTGCTTTTCACTTTAACTAGGAATATGTACTGGTCGTGTTACTTGTCTTGGCAAAGGCTGGCACGAATGGATATTCATCAGATTGTTTTCTCAGTTTATCATGTGTCTGTAAAATATCACAAAACTTTCAAAAATGTGCACTATGTTTTCCTATAAACCAATAGGATGTCTTCAAATGTCTTGCTTTGTCCAATCAAAAGCCCAAAATCCAAAGATACTCTGTCAACTATCAAATATGAAGAAAGTCTCACTTGTGAGAATTTGGAACCAGCAATTCTGTTGGCATTTGCTTAAAGAATGAGATCAGAATAGCTGCTGTTTTCCATCTGTTGACTAACCATTTAATGGACTCGTCTTGGCACCTGTAATTGTGGTTGAATAGAAACACAAAGGAAGGAGTTCTTGTGAGAGATTTGAGTGAGGGCTGTCAATCTGTTTAATCTGTTCATTGAAACCTTAATAAATTTAATACATTGGAATAATGGTAAGCAATTTTCAGTTCTTCTTTGAAAACATGGAAGTGGGAGGAAAAGGAAAAGGGCCATTATCTTTTCTGCTGATTCTATTCAGGGATACAATGTGTTGCTCAGGCATCATTAAACACAGAGGATGTGGGCTAAAACAGAGGCTTGACACTGACTTTTCAAGGGCAGATCCTGTCTCTCAGACCTGTAGCTGCCTTAGTTTATATCTATATGACTGAACTTACAGCAACTTGAGTCGACCGCTTATTGAAAATTAAGATAAAAAAACAAAACACTAATCCTGATGTTCGCAACGTTGTCCGTTTACTCAGGTGATGTTCTGCTAAGCATCAACGGAGTTGATTTGACCCAGCTGACCTACAATGAGGCAGTTTCTGTGCTGAAGGCTCAGACAGCTCAGTCCCAGGTGGTGCTCCGTGTCATTCAGACCCTCTCTGAGGACTCAGAGGAGGACACCGAGGTTGGCAGCAAGGACGAACTCGACTTTATGGACGACCCACGAGACGACGCCCTCAACTGGACGCCGCTGTGGACTCGCTGGCTGGGATTACCAAGGTAGAGACGCCTTCATTACTACCTGATGTCTGCTCCTCCACTTCTAATGTGTTTTGTTTGTTTTTATGTGCTTGCTCTAACTCTGAACTTGTCCCTTCAGTCACATGCACTGGTGTCGGGACATCGTGCTGCAGAAGACAAACAACGAGAGCTGGGGTTTCAGCATCGTCGGGGGGTATGAGGAGAGCCACGGGCAGCAGCCCTTCTTCATTAAAACCATTGTGCCTGGTACACCTGCTCACTTCGATGGACGCCTCAAGTAAGTTATACCCAGTCTGACACCAATATGAGTTAACCCTCTGAACCACCAGCAGTTTTTTGGAGTTTCTTGCTTCTGTCACGTTTCCTCTCTGTGGGATCATTGTTTAGTGCAGTTTAAAGGGAAACAGCACAACCGCTAGAAGTAGAGAGAACTCAAACATGTCTTCTCTGCAATATAGCATAGTAATAATGCCATAAAGTTTCAAAAATTATTATTTTTTTCATTATTTATTTTACAAAAACGAGGGGGGGGGACACATCAGCATGTACAACATTTTTCCACGTGCCTGTAGGTGTTAAACTCACACAAGTCACTTGCGGCTTGTCAGTTATTTATTTATTTATTTTTTTACAGATTAAGATTAATGCAAACTTTAGTTTTTGTTGATTCTAATTTTAAACGAGATATGTAGAATAAAGTGATTTTGATAAAATATCATAATTTTAGGGTTAGATTTGATGAATTTTACAGATGAAACCGAGTGTCACTTAACTTAAGCTTTGAGCTGGCGTCCCATGTGCAGGGCTACAGTCCCGATGTGGAGGTCATGAGTTCGAATCCCGCTCATGGCCCTTTCCCACATGTCCTCCCCCCATTCTTCTCACCACTTTCCTGTCTCTCTCTCATGGCACTATCAATAAAGGCACAAAGGCTAAAAAAATGATAACTTTAAAGGTAACTTGCCTTTCAAACCCACTGCCAGGTTTTGGGGTTCAGAGGTTTAATCAACTCCTGTATCCTTCCATCATTGTTAATCTGCAGACTCCACATTAATGGTCTGTGCTTCTCTCCAGATGCGGTGATGAGATTGTTGCGGTGAACGGAGCGACAACTGTGGGAATGAACAACTCGTCTCTCATCCCCATGCTCAAACTGCAGAAGAATAAAGTCACACTGACTGTAGTGTCTTGGCCGGGTAGTCTCGTGTAGCAAAACACACTTTCTCATTCTCTTTCTCTTTTCTTTGTCGCCCTTTTCGTTGAACACACACTTGTTTTCCTGTTTAGTTGCATACTTCACTGGGACACTCACTGTCATCTCCTTATGCAACTCGTTTGGTCACATTCTCCGTTAATGTTTCTGATCAGTTGTGTTGCACAGAACACGTGTGAACTTAAAGAGCCATCTCATGTATGATAGCAATGATTTTCACAGAAATAATGTTTGTTTCAGTGCACTCACAGAGCAGTTGATTGCACTATCAGAGTGCAAAAACGACGACAATCAGTGCGTTATATGCTAAGGACAAAGTGGAAGGATTGTTATTTTTGATCCTGTTTTAAAGCTGTGTGTATATTTACCAGTTCAATATTGTATTATTTGATTATCATGATAAATGATTCACATAAACCGTGTACAAAGATGAAATACAGTGAATATTTGTTGTAAGGAGGAATTATTAATGACAGAACGTGCGCTGACTGTAAACCGATGCCAAAGACAGAACATCTTCTTGTCCTGTACCTGACGAGTGTGATTTAATCAACTTAAATATTATTTCACTTTCAAAGCGTGCAACAGTGATAAAGCCTTAATGAAAATTCAATTAAACCGAATCCAGTCGACAGTAAGAATAAAATCAGCTCCAGCCACAGTGTGTTACAGAGCGAGACTATTAACTGGAGGGTTTTGTGGGAATGGGAATGTTCGTTTTAGATGGTCGGCAATATTTGACTTCCAGTTCTGTCATAAAGTAAACAGAAAATGCGTGTAAATTTTACGAATATCATTCAATCAGAGTTGCATTGGTAGCACATAGCTCGGGTACAAATTAATTCCTGTCCAATTTATAATGAGATGCAAACTTGGTCTTATATTGATCATCTGAGCTACTCTAAATAAGCAAATAAACTCTGCGATTAACATTCGGTTTTAATCAAAAATGCTGTTATGAATGAAACATTTATTTGATTTATTAATCGAATGGTACATGTCCCTATATCGGCGCTCTGTATTTATTTTCAAATGATAAAATGGCTCGTACTGAACGACTTTAATAAGCGGGTGCCTTGTAGACATTGAAGGACGAACCAGAATGTATACTTGCCTTAAATTGCCACCCTACCAAAAATGTGTTTTCCCCCCCTTCATTATTTCCTTTCATTATCTACAGTTTATTTTGTAGGAAGGAGAATGGCCTTGTTCAGATACATTTGTGTCAACACATTCCCAGTGGCCTTGCTTGTATCTTAATGGATGCAGGACTTATTGAACAACTCTGTGGCTGTGAAATATGAATATACAGCAGGTGGTGTGTGTATTAGCCCGTCCACTGTTACATTATGTTCAATAAAATCATATCAAATCACACTGTGCTTCTGTTTGTCTGGCTTCTAACTGCATCGTGAGAGGAATCTAAAGAGTGTAGTGAAGCACAAGAGACAAAAATGGCATCTTAAATAGTTTATCTTGCACATCTGAGTTGCCGAGGAAATTGTGCAGAAACACAGCGACTGACACGTTAGTGGGTCTTAGCTACTGCTCTTTGTTAATTCGTCATGATGAGCAGGTGGGTCAGAGGGGATTAGAAGCAGGCCAGTATTCTCTGACAGAAGGTATTTATTAGAAATCACATAAGTTAATTGAACACTCATTACTGTCCAGCAAACTGCAGTGTACCAGCCTGTGCAGTCTGACCCCTAGTGGACAGAAAGAGGAAAGAATTGGGCAGATTTAAACTGCTGCACACTTGTGAGGACATATATTTACTTCAAAAGGCATGACATGTAAACACAATAAAAGATGGGGAAAGCTTTTGGATTACGTAGAACTGCTAGTTTAGAATAACGGCAGATAATAAGGTGAGCTATGACCTTCCCACTCGTTTACAACCTCTACTGCTCTGTCACACACACCAAGAGACGGTGTTTGTGCAACAGATAACACATCACAACCAGCATGACTTGATACAAAACCTCATATACAAGTCATACACACAGATACTAAACACATGAGTGATATGGAGTATGAGCAGCCAGTGGTGGAAGAAATACTGAGATACTTTCCACAATGTAAAAGTGTTAAACTGTGGAGCAACCAACGTTTTCAAAGCTGGTATTTTAACCTCATGTGCACAAGAAGTAATTTTTCAGCAACTCAGAGGCACCCTTGTGTCATTCTTATTTGGGAACTCATTTAAATGCAGGCGCAGTGCTGCACATCGAAAAACACAATTCAGAGCCTTTAATAAAGAATAATACATTATATTTTATATAACTCGAAATGATCAAAGTAAATACTAAATTAAGCCGTCAAATACAACCAGCAGAGTAAAAGAACACAGCAACATTTTCTCCCTTACAATATAGCAGTAGAAGTTTAAAGCTCCTTAAATTGCAAATATTAGGGAAAGTTGAAAAACTGTACTCAAGCACAGTAGTTGAGTAAATGTAGCTGATTCTTTTTCAGCACTTTTAAAAGCATCTATCTAAAAAGTAGTGACAAGTAGAGGAAGGCTTTAGTGTAAATGTCTTTTACACGATGTACAAGAATGATGAGTAATATATTTGTATGTTACAAGTACTATTTGTTGCAACTTAAATTACAATCAAATTCTTACTGTGGGATTAAAAAAATAAAATAAAATTGGAATTTAAAGAGAAGTTGAGAACATTTTATCCTGAATTAGCTCAAATAAATTGCTTGGTCAAATGTGGTGGCTAAGCCTTTTTGCACCTAACATTTTGCACCACAAGGAATAATTGTACTCTAAATTACCGAAGAGGTGGCAGCTTGACTTGAAACGACTGCAGCAGGACAAACTTCTTCAGTCTAAACAGGGACAGACTGTGAATGTGAAAACAAAAAAACAAAGGACCATAAAAACCAACCACCCTGAAGTGACGCCCTCCATTTCAGTAGTTGGGGGTTGTAGTGAGATACAGTAGAAACACTGTGTAGTATTTTCTCCTCTCTGACTGCTGGTCTGTAACATTAGGAAGTAGCATGTTATGGTTCCTCAGTTTTACAAATGTGTTGTTGAGTAATTGCTGGCTGTCTTGTTAAAGTTAACGATTCAGCACCTTGTTAAACATGACAAACAGACACATTTCTAGTAGCAGAGCAGCACGCGGTGGTCAGACAGCCTCAGCAGAGCTCATGATCGGATTTTCCAGTGACATTAAACATCACAAATGGTTTCAAATGAAAAAGGAAGCAGCGGCAGAAAGAAAATCAAAATCAACAATTTATTTTCTCTCTCCATAGGGACTAGGTCATCATGACAAACATTTACAAGAATTGTAACAGGGACAATACTGGAAGGAGGATTTAAAGTCTCCTTTGTACAGGAGAACTGATTTCAACCTGTACTTCTCTGTGGTTCTTCAACTATTCCAGAGGCACTCTAATACGACGCAATGCAGCAATCTCTTGACTAAGATTCTGGAAAATAACGGTAACACTTGAGACTGAAACAAAGGAACCATCTGCTCGATACATCGTGTACTGTGGACGCATGTGCTTCCTAACACATCAGGAGGACCAAAACACAGCACGGGGAAAAGTACAAAACTACAAAATTAATGCAAAGTTGGGCTAAATTGAAAAAAAAAGAAAAAGAAAGAAAAAAAAGAGTGGAAGTGCAGAGTTCAAATGATAATTCTTCCAACTATCTCCGGCTTTAGCGGACGACGAGTCACTGAACGTCGTCTTCATTGGCAAAAACCACATGGTAACATGCACTGCTGTTGTCACCGGGTGAATATTCAGGATGTTCTGTGGTCTGAAATCCTGACTTTCTTCTGGGTTCAAGTGCAATAATCAGTCCTAACTCTGGCATCAGGTACATTGTCACTATATGGCTTACAAGGTAAACAGGTCCATATAAACTAGAAAGGTACGTAGACATCTTTCATTGATCAAAACTATGGTACAGCAATATATTGGCAAAAAAACTAAAGAACTAAGTAACTTTATGTAAACAATGGTATACCACTGTACAGCTTATTCTAACATGGTATATACAGGTCAAGTTCTTTTACTAGCTAGTTCCCATGTACAGAGGGTTAAGGTAAAGACGAAACACAGGGTGATGACGTACACTGTACGTTAGGCAATTCAACCATCCCATCTACCTGCAAAGAACTGGATTCAAAGAAAGGAAACCCAACAAACAGCATCTGAATGGACAGATTTGTTGAATTACCCAAAGCCTTCCTCCTCCTGTTAGATGTAGTTTTGTTTTTTTTGTTTCTGTTGTTTTTTTTCTTTTTTAATCATACATAAGGCAAGGACAGTTACGGAAGGTGGAGGCATCACATTCTTTGCAAGGGATTACTGATATAATAGATGGGATACAGGTTGACGGTTCTTTGGGGTAAATGCACTTTTCGAGAGTTTCACTTGTTTTTCACATGTAACAAAAAAAACAAAACACATCAGAGTGCAACAAAGGGGACATGTCTAGTTCTGTCGGGAAAATGTGCAAAATCTGCTCTAAAGCAAAGTGACAGTGTTGCAAATTCTAATGTACAAGGTACTGGGAGATGTACGGAGTCGTCACGACAGACGCCGGTGCAGACCCTTATTCCAACATACTGTATATACAAGGCACTAAGGATAAGATTCAAGGGCCACTCATCCAGTCTGTTAACAGGCTCCTCAGTCCGGTCGGAATATAGGATATTTGGGTAAGAATTCTATAAGAATCACCTGCAGACACAAAAAGATAAAACGTATTATTTTTCAGGACAACTGCACAACATTCAAACATAACTGTGTTTACTATAACTGAAACTACACGAGTTTATCACCTGAGAGAAGATCAGCTCTTTATTTCCCAGTCATTTGATTAGAATTTGCTTAAACTTTCAAAAAAATATTAATTTATTATTGGAAAATGCATTGTTCATTTACATATTGCTTCTTTATTAGGTACACCTCGCTACACCACGTCATCTAAATTAACTAAATAACAGACTCTTTATAATGCTGTACATGTACATGTACATGTACATGTACTGCATTACTAAGTACATCCAACACTTCCACAACACACAACAAAAACTGAACATTAGGCTTTATGAAGGTAGGATTTATTACAGAACGTATGTATTTGACTACATTAGTTTTGGGTGTATCTAATAAAGAGGCAACTCACTGTTTGTACCAAAACACCAAATCAGATTCTTTGTATGTGAAAACCTACTTCGCAATAAAACCGATTCCGACTTTGATTTTGAGTGTTTAACACATTTTTGGTTTTTCTACAGACAAATTTCACATTTTTAATGTCCAGCTGACCTGTTATGCAGAAGAACTGATGCTTGCTATTAACTTAGTTTCCCCTAAATTTGGCACCATTCTTTTCTAAACAACCCTCTATAATATTACAGTAAATAAAAAATATTAGCTAACCTCTAAACAACCGTGTAAAAATAATATACAATTATTTTAGAATTCATTTTTAAGCAAAAAGGCCAAACGATTACTGGCTCTAGCATCTCAAATGTGAGAATATGCCTTTATTTGTCATTTATAAGAATAAACTCAATATCTTTGTGTTTTGGACTCTTGGTCAAACAAAAGACATGCACAGAAACTACAATGGACATTTATTTAGAATCTAGTAGGCAAAAGATTCATCAGCTAGTCAAAAAAAGAAGAGTCGCTAACGGAAATAACGTAACGCAAAAATATATCATTGTTTCGTTGCGACAGCCTACTTACATATTCCATCATATTACTGCTTTCACATTTTCTTTTGCTGAGTTTCCAGTGCAGCCCCAGCTGATGAGAGAAGAAAAGACACAGACACAATGAATGAACCTTTCTCTCACCTCACTCTCGAACAGACACAAAGACACACACACAAACACACACAGATGCACACAAAAGAAAATCTGTCTGAAATCTCCTCTTCAGTGTCAGGGGAATCTGGGAGCAGGACTGTCTGGTCTCACTGGGGTCAAACTGTGGCCAGACACCCTGAAGAGCTTCCTTTATACCTTTGCACAGCTACTAGCTGTAATTTGTTGCTGCGAGACAAAACAAAATTAACATGGCCTTTTACTGCTGACCTCACAGTCCTCTCAGACCTCGTGCAGCAGCTCTGACTCAAACAGCTTTGAGGGGCTTATGTGGCAGGTTAGAGTTTACAAAACAGATTAATGGTCGTTATCCATCACGATTGATTCTCAACTTGCGCCGCACACTAACACAGACAAATAACCACTTTCACACAGGTGCTGATGTGCAGTCTGGCATCTTTCTTACCTTGTGGTATAGTCGGTTATTTTCCCACTCTAACAACTTCTGAATGGATCGTCTTGTCTTTTGGAGCAGAAAACAAATGCATGTACATTAATGCA